GGAGGAGAAGGAGGGCAACGTGGCCCAGTGTGGCTTCGCACCAGGCTGGAATTAGTATTCTCCTACTATTCCCTGAGGACAGGCACACCCCCCACTCCCCTTTGTCCTCCTTTCACCACACATACACACACACACACACACACACACACACTGTTTCTGAAGTTGTAGTTTTATCTTTAGTTATTTTTTGAATCACTGAAACTTTCCTTTAACCCTTATTTAGTTTGAATATGTCACAATCGGCAAAAATCCTTCAGCGATAGTTGTCTGAATTAAAACACCACAATTGAAACCACTAATTAGATCACTGCTGCTGCACCATTTGAATTAAGGTGCTTCACTGTTTGGGACATTCACTCTTTCTTCCTTGAAGTCAGTATCGAAATTATTCCAACACTGATGACTTAGATGAACCTGAAAGTCGAACAGCCTCAAGGGCAAAATGTGTGTTTTATTATAAGGTTTTGTTGTTTTAGTGATTTGTGTGTATGTACCAGCAGGACACTAATGGAGCGAATTACACAAAGCAGACAATAACTCCACCTTTTAAATGAATTAACTGGAAGTTGAAAAAGTTAAGTAGGACAAACTTTTTTTTTTTACACTAAAGGTGCCAGTGAGGAAAACTACACCAGATGAATTCAACAGTGGGCTGTTGTAGAAAAAGGAAAACATCTACCAGCAGACAATAAAACAAATCATTTCCCACCTGCTGCATATTATTTCAACACTGATATCTTGTATTATTCTGGTAAAGGTTGTCTGAGACGGTATCAAACAGGTTGCAGAGCAGTGAGCAGCTCGTTTGTTCCAGTGCGTCCTGGCTGTTGATCTGTTAATTGGCTGGATTTGGAGAGCGCGCCGCGCACGGCTGCTCGGCCGCCGCCGCCGCCGTGCCTGTTCAGCGGCACTGATCCGTCCAGCAGCCTCGTTACCACCACAAAGTCCCTGCTACTCATTACCAAACCAAAGGGAGGAAGAGTTTCGAGCACCCCCCTCACCCATCTCCTCTCATCCCTCTTTTTTACTGTGCAATCAACTCGGGGGAGAAGGAGACAAGCATGGCAGGAATTCGGCCGCTTCTCCCTTCCGATTGCCAAGAAGGAGGAGGAGGAGGGTCCCGAACAAAAGCTGCATGTCCCCATAAAGGAAGGGGAATCACAGCTGCTCGGAGCCCTGGTGGTTTCTGTTTCCATTGCTCGAACCCTCCCTTCCCTCCTCTCCACGCTCTCACTGAGGCTGCAGCCGCGCGTCCTCCGCCACATGTATCATCATCGCAGCCCGGAGCGGAGGGATGGAGAGGAGGAGGATGGTGATGATGATGGTGATGATGATGGTGATGGAGAGGAGAGCCTGCTATTTCAGTCGCTGTGTTCGCCATGCAGCGAGAAGCTGACATTTCACCCTATCAGTTTAATTACTGTTGCCATGGCAGCGCAGCGCCGGTAAAGGCCAGTAACGGATTTAACGCGGAGACTCAATTTGCTCGTGCGGCTTTCAACGAGCACAGAGAGAGAGAGAGAGAGCGAGAGAGAGAGACCGGAACATGATCATCAGCTGCTGCTGCACGATCACACAGCACCGGGGCTCGTCTCCTCACGGCTCCGATGAAAGGTTATCAGAAGGGAGGGGGCACAGATAATGGATCCGGCAGCGGGTCACATCCGGACGCGTCGGGAAGCAGAGGTGATGCTGTAACTTGGTCGTCGCAGAGCTCATCGTCACACACACGCACACACACACACACACGGAACGAAGCGCAAAAAGGCGTCTTACCGAAACTTTTCTCCCTTTTCTGCATTTGTTGAGCCGCTGAAGCAGCCGAAGCACCACCATGCAACCCGAAGCCGCCGGGTCCGGAGAGCAGCTCTGTCTGCCGGGGAGGGGAACGCTGGGCCGATCGGGCTTTTGTTCGGAGAGGAGGGGGAACAATCCAGCACGGCGACCAGAGGCGAATGAAAAGAAGTCGGGGAGAAGGTGGGTGGTGGTAGTGGTGGTGGGTGGGTGGGTGGGGGGGGGAAGCACCGGCCAACAAAACGCAAGGCGGTGTGTGTGTGTGCGCGCGTGTGTGTGTGTGTGTGTGAGGGAGAGAGAGAGAGAGGAGGGGGGGAGCTACAGAGCTGATCCTCGCCGTCGGGCGTCACACGGCGTTTGAGAGAACGTCCCTCACCGTCCGGAGCTCCGCGCACGAGTGCGCAGAGACGCAGGCGGCGGAAGGCAGGACGACAAAGAAGATGATTCTCCTCCGCGGGCGCGTGTTGCGACCATCTCATCTAATCCCGCAGCACGGCCACAGTATTAATCACAGAGGCTCCCGCTGCGCCATGCTGCTTCTCTCATTAGCGCCTCGCTTGGACGTGCCACCGGTCACCGTGCGCGCACAACCACAGGAGGGACCCGCTCCTCCAAAACTCCCAGTTCTCACTCACACATGTTTACACCTTCCATAGCCCCATATTATCTAAACCTGAAATCACCATTAGCCTCGTTTCAGCCCGCGTGTCTACTGACATTGTTTCAGGTTGCATTCGTGCCATAGTCTCGCTCACCTTTCTCAGCAAGTTACGCAGAAGCCTCAACTCCAGCCGCGGTCTGCAGCTCCAGATTCCTCCCGGAAAAGTTTACCAAACTGGCATGGCGCGTCGCAGCGCACCGATCTGTCAGGGTGGATAAACAAGGAGCTCCGCATGGATCAGAGCGACCACTTGGCAGGATGCTACCCAGCTACAGGTGTTCGTCCGCCCGCGGAGCATGCAGGGGAGGGGGGATGTGGCGAGGCTCAAGCCGGCGTCCTCATGCGGTGGAGGGAGGGAGTGAGTCGAGCTTTATTACGTCCAGAAGGAAAAAAAAATCCAATCGTTCACCGGTGAGACATCGCACCCCCACGATAAGGTCATTCACTTGATGCGAGGACGAAGAGCATGCATCGCGTGCGCGCCCCCGGAACGCCCACTTTTATTTTTTTTTCTTCCCAACGAACGTCCTTCAATCTTCGGGGCGCGCGGGGGGCACGACGCTCGTTAGCACGTTACAGAGACAGAAACACGGGGCGCGTGAGTTCAGGGCTGCGCGCACAGCAGAGTCCGGGTATGAGGCGGAGGACTGGATGCTGTTCTCCAGTCACCACACGGACACCTGACGGACATCCACACATGACGGCGGAGTTTAACGACACAAACCACACAAGAACCGATGATCCACATCATGACGTGGGTTTAAACTGCAGCCAGACTGACGCTTTAATGGCTCAGATTTATAGGCGACTCACGCCGAACTATCAATTCACTTCTTAATGCACATTAAAGCCACTTGTCTGTGTCAGTCAAACGTTGGCTCATTAACTATTTTGGGGGAAATAAAAATAGTGCGAACAAGAAGCTGATCCAATGTGGACACCTATGTGTTTATTCTTTTGCTGAGAACACTGTTTCCTGTACCTATGGCACGCACGCGCCACGTGAGGTCCCGGGTTCCACGGTGGCTGCCCGGCCTGATTATCTCCTCTCCACACTCTTTATTCAAATCATCCCTGTAATTAAAGGACAGAATTATTCTTCGCCCAGTTATTGCGCCAGTGCGCACCAGTGCGCCGCCCGGTTGTGACTGGATGAGGCCCCGTGCGCTTTAAAGGGTCGTGCGCGGAGCCCCCCCATCACATCACACCACACACCTCCGACCCCCTCGGCTTGCTATTGCTTACACACACACACACACACACCTCACAGTTCTCCAGTCCACAGCCTGACAAGTTAATAGTTGGCATGCGGCTCCAGCCTAAAATGCAGCGATAATGAGATGGGTCATAAAATGCTCTCCGCGCCATTATGAGTGATGAGATGCATTAAAGTTGACAGGGTATTACCTGCCAGTAATTAGGTTTTGTCATGGATTGAATTATTTCAAGGCGGCCTATCTTGGTAATCATGCAATTTGCTGCGGTGTGCGTGCGTGTGTGTGTGAGAGAGAAAGAGAAAAAGGGAGTGTGTGTGTGCGCGCGTGAGCCTGCCACGTCTCTCCGGTGCCCTTCCACTCTCCTTTCACTCACTGCGTTCCGCGTATTATCCATCCTGAGTATGAATGGGGGATGCAGACAGGAGGCAGCGGTGGAAAGTGGAGGAGGCGCGGATCAAGTCTCCTCATCTAGCAGGACCACGCACCTCCACATAAGCCCTCACATGTGCACAAACGAGGAGAAGCTTGTTATGTTCGCACCTGACCCCCAACCCCCACTGCGTCTATCTATAATAAGGAAATATAATGACAACGCGGACCCTGAAGCCCACTCCTCAACTCTGGCGGCGGCTGCGTTTAGCCACTGGAGTCTCGGGATGGTGGAGGAGAAGCCAAATGCGGAGCTTTACGCGCAGCCTTAACGCGTTAAAAGTCACAACAAGGAACAAAAGGAGGACTGCACGTACCTTGGAGTAGAGCCAGGGATGTCCAAAACAAATGCTGCAGAGGTTTGTGAGGCTGTCGTCTTGAGTTCTCTCAACTTTGAACCAAAAGTGTCCACAAGGCAACTTTCTCTCAGTGCTCGCCAAACTCCAGGTTGCCTGCAGAAAAACTTGACGACGAGGAGTTCTGGGGGAAAAAAAGTTGCGCAAGTTGTTGGGATGTCGGATCCCCCTCCCCGGTGCGTCCTGGAGCCGTCTCTCAGTCGTTCTCTCCTTCTCTTGTCTCTTACTCTCACCCCCCTCTCGCGTCTTCCTCACCTTCTCCTGTCTCCCCGGGTCTCTTGCCTGTGTGCGCGCCCGTGTGTGCGTTGCGTGCCTCTCTCTGGTTCTCTGGCAGTGGAAAAGCGGCGGAGAGTCGAGCCTCCTCTCCTATTTAAGCCCCTCCACCAGGTCCCCAGTCAGCAGCACACTCCAGCTCATCCAAGAAGCTGACAAGCACCGTTAGGGAAGGCAGCGCATGTTGCTCTAATGGACCTCATTAAGCTCTACTTACAGATGTTCTCTTAACATAATTGATCTGCAGCGAGTTGAGAGGACGGCAACCTATTCCCCAGCCCCCAATTATGGCCCGGTAATTAGATCCCCAACCTCCAGCTCTCCACACTCACCCTTCTAACATTCCGAAATATCAAAGTATCTTTCTCTCAAAGCGACCGCCCCCCATCCCTCCCCCTCCACCACCTCACCTCCATGTCTCCTCCCTCCCCTCCCTCCCTCCCCTCCCTGCCTCCCACCCATAAGACACTATTGACAGTCAGATCTGCTAACCTTTGTAGTGTAGCCAGACTTAGCAGTGCTCTGACTCCAACTGACAGAGCTCACTCACTCCTCTATTCCTCCTCTCTCTCTCCCTCCCTCTCTCTCTCTCTCTCCTGCACTCTTCTCTCTATCTCTACCCGTTGGGAGACAAGAGACAGAGAGAGGGAGACAGAGTGAGTGGCACAGATAGGGAAAGAAAGAAAGAGAGAGAGAGAGAAAGGAGGGGAAGGGGAGGGAAAAAAAACAAGTTAGCACTTTCCATAACGGTTGTAATGATAATATCTGTCAGGGGAAAATCCTTTTTTCCGTCATGTCTTTTATCTTAAATAATTCCTGTGATGGCAACTTTGAGCGGGTGGGGGTGAGTGGTTTGGGGCTGCTGGGAACCGGTGAAGAGTGATAGTGCAGCTTTTATAATGCCAATCAGTGCCACTCCTATCACCCATCCAATTAGCCAGACTGCTAAAACAGAAAGCACTTGACATATATTAAAAAAAAGCTGTTTGTGACGAGGTGCCATCAAGTATTTTCCGAGCAGGCACTGTTGGATAAAACGTTCACACATATTTACTGTGTATGTTGTCACATTTGTACTGCAAATTTTTTTTTTCTGCATGTCTGGATGCATGACCCAGATTGAAATGTGTCTTTCTCTGTGGGTGTGTATGTGTGCGTTTCTGCAGTAGTGCACATCAGCATTATCTCCCTGACCAAATGACAAATATCCTTAAATGTGACGGGGACAGAACATAAGTACGCATCATGCATTTTCCATAGAAATGATGCACCTATGTTCAGTCACATATGCTCAGTAATATATGAGCTTGTTTGTTGTTGTTCAAGGTGTTTTGTCATGGAGGTCTGTTTTAAAACACTTTGGGTTATAGGCCTATAAAATATTAGTTGTAGGCCTATAAGATATAAGCTCTCTCTCGCTCTCATATTGACAAGTACAACACACGCATTGCAGTTTATTACGACTCACGCCATCCTTAAATACTAAATTTACTAACACCAAATGTAGATTAATCCACCATTTTAAATAGTCAATAAATGCACTGGTTCCTTCGGTTTGAGCAACTATTGTCCAAAACTGCAGTGGCTGTGTAATTACAGAGCTTTTAAAAGAAAGGAAAAAAAAACATTAACACAAGAGGTAAGAGTAGAGTAAATTTGTGAAGAATATCAGAGTTATAACAAGGTCTAGAGTTAATAAGCAGAGGGTAGGGTATAAGATTTAAAGAAGCAGGGTGTAGGATTTAGTGGCATCTTGTGGAGAAGTCTTTGATTGCAATCTACTGATTACCCCTCCACTCCGGGTAAAAACAAGAAGACGAGGTAAAGAATAAGAAGGAAATATAATAGATAGGTGTCATGCAAAGCCATTGATAGTGGCCTTAAAATGACTTCTCTGTGGATGTTGAAGGAGAAATTGAATATAATAGTCATAATGATGTTTTCATGAGTGTAATCACATGAGCTAAGAATTACCGATTTAAAAAGCGATTAAGTGCTGCAACCGAAAGCAACAGATGTGCATTTCAACACTGCCACACATGTGTTTGCATACATTTTGCAGGAGTGAGTCTTGTTCTTGGCAGCATGCAAACAGTCTGTTGCATTGCATTGTGGGACTCTGGGTCCAGGTCAGAGGGGTCGTACCTCATTGCTATTTTGTGTTTCATATCATCATAGGGGTTTATTTGCTGGAAGGATAAAGCTGATGTTCTCTTTGTTAAATGATGTTTCTTTATTTTAACAAGTTATTTTATATCTTCAAATTGACTTTATTAGATATTTAGTAGATGTACATGGCTTAAAAAGTAATACCACATAAATATATTCTTGTTAACTATACATGTAAAATATAAAGATTAAATCGATATGGAGGATTTAATTCCTGATCATTTATCTCTGGTACAGCGTCTGGCCTGTGAAAAGAGAAGAAAGAATTAGATCCTGTGATAAGACACTTTGCTTTATGGATGTTTACATCTTGAGGGAAAAAGACAATCATAGTTTTGAAATATTCCTCATTAAAATTTGCAGCTGGCCTTGCCAGATGGGGTCTAACTTGTTTTCAATGACATCATTCTGACTTTTCCAATGTTCAGAAACAGGAATGCAGCACCTACTACTACAGTCCTTAAAAAATAAACTGCTAACAATGACGGATTAATAAAAACATTTTTGATCATATTATTTGTATGGTTACTGTATAACTGTTTCAAGGCCTTATCCTGTCCACTGCTAACTTGTGTCTGCAGACGCTTGTGGCTGGTATTAGCTGTTATGCTGGACAGCACTGCATGTTGACATGGATTATCTGAACTGGTTGTACACCCTAGCATCCAACGTCTGGAAGAGAACCGTTTCCTTACGATTGCCCTTCGAACATTTGAGTTTAAGGTATCTGAGATTAGTGGTTGGACTGTATGGAGCTGTATGGTGGTCATAGTCTTGGCGAGCTGGTGAGATTTGGGCTTCATTAACTGGAGGGCCAAAGTGCTTGCTGACATGGATACAGTCGATGTACAAGCACAGAGGGAACTGTCAGATGACATAATTAAACATTCTAAATGCATGCATATATAACAACACAGAACAATCACTTAAAGGTTCAGTGTGTAGAATGTAGTGGTGAAGTGTCATGTTGCAGCTGAACACCCCTCACCTCACCCTCCCCTTCCAAACATGAAAAAGAACCTGTGGTAGACTTCAGTTGTAATATCACTGGGATTATTTTATATTAAATGTCTACCAATAGATCCCTTTTACCTAAATCTTACACACTGAACCTTTAAAAGTGATGAGTGGTGAGTAGAGGTGCTGTCATCTCCTGATTTTTAACACACTTAAATCATGTACTGTATTCTCTGGCTCAGTTTTTTGAAACACGCCAAAAAGGTTTGGAGCATTCCACTATGTTTTTCTTTGCTTGGATCTGTCAAATCAGAGCACAACAGAAAATCTTTTTAGACAGACTGTTTAATATTCAAATGTTATGCAAAATCGGGGTCAAGCAAACATTTACTAATGTAAGTATTAATTATGTGTGTTGCCCACAGGAGTGGATTTGAATGGTAATTATTGAAAGCGTTATTGTGTCATTGCTGTATAATATATGATCATGAAGTTGCAGTGCAGCCACAGAGTGAAGGCCCAATGACATGGACTGACTGAGGACAGCAGATATTTTTGAATGCGGCTCTGTGAACCGTTCAGAAAGCTTCACCTCCTGTTGATGCACGTCAAAACTTCTAATGAAGCCATTTCCTCTCCAGGACCACGGAGCATCTCTCGCTTGTCAATGACGACTATATTGATATGATCTAACTGTCAGGACAAGAACTACACGAGGCAAGAGACAAAGACATGTCAAAAGTATTGCCACCACTGATCTCTGAGACAGTATAATTACTAAGTTCAGCGACTTTTCCCTCAATTGTTACTTTCTTTTCTCGTACCAAACTGTTGATGTGTCAACACAATTCGTGTCCTGTAATTTTAAAAGGGTTGCTCCATTATCCTAATGTTCACAAACTTGACGAGCAGTGCAACTTTGGTGCAGTTATTACCAGACAGGAGTATATTTGATGCTAACACAAGGTAGCCAGCTGGCATCCTGTACTTGAATGTAGGATGAGAGATCCACTGCCAGACAAAGTGATTGTTTGGACAGAGAAAAAAGACGGGAATAAAGGCAAGATAGCATTTAGCTTTCAGCACCACTGACATTGACTGCCAATGTCATTGAGGCTGTCATCAACAGAAATAAGGGCCAAAACTAACAGTGGAAGCAAGCAGACACAAGTCAGATGCAGAGATTGGCGTGTTGTGCACAGTGCGTCTGTTAACCAATCAAGTCTATGCTATCTATGTCTGAGCACGTGTCCTCAAGTGTGGAGAACAAGGGGACAAGTCATGCTCTACATCCCAACATAAGAAATGGTGCTGAAAGTGCTGGTGTATCTCATACTTCTCAAAGCAGGGACAGACTTTGGAAGCTTTAACAGGAGCGTTGCCTATTCACTCTGAGTGGGCTGGCATTCTGGTTCTGTAGATTCACTTGACCGGGATCACAGGCAATAGCCAATCAAATTGTGTTTCAACGAATGCTCAGACGCAAGGCATCAAATGTCAAAAGGCAGAGGCGGTTGGTGAACCTGGTTTGTGTTCATCTGTTTTTTTTTAATGTTGTATCCATTGAGTGGACAGCTCGCAAGAAAACCAGTGTTGTGTGGATTTTGTCGCTATGACGAATGCACCAGCATCAAGCAGAGCCACAGCCGAACATTAAAGCAATGCCTATATTTGAGTTCTCAGTAAAGCTCACAAAGAGCAACAAGGGACCTTTGCATTTGATGATATGAATGTCAGTTGCGAGTTGTATGGAGTACCTGCAAGGTTTACAGAAAAATAAATGGATAGCACCATCGTGGCGGCCATTATCATTGACATTGTCTGAAGGATGTCTCTCTTGAGATTCCAAAGACAGTGACTAGTCAGTTCCTGATACTTTCTCCAAACAAGGACATGCTGGATGTGCAGGATGGAAACATGTGACTAGGATAAATGCAAACAACCAAGGAGATTGGAGGTCAATGGTGCAATAAAAGACTTAATGACATTTGGTTTTTACCAAGGCCTGTACTATTTGATGCTCTTCAACATATTACATCAGCATTGGATCATTTGAAGGTGGAGAGAACATTTGACCCGCATTTGGGAGAGGTCCTATTGGCCTATGTCCTAAGTAAGTTGCATCATCAGATGGGCACAGAGTTT